GTGCAGTCAAAGAAGATAAATGAAGGTCAACGAGTAAAAAAGAATAGAAAAACTAGCACAGAAACAGAGCATTTGCATATATAGTATATATCTGCAAAAGCCAGCCTGGTGTAACCCTGCAAGACATCTGTGAGAAAAGCATTTTTTGGGCTGCAGTATCAGTATCATTACAAGGCTATGTGTGGTTTTATCTTAGATTGATTAAACCGTATTTACACTGATAATTACAAGTAGCCGTTCATAAAATGGTCTTTTATTCTGGCTGCTGCATGCCTTCTCTACTGTGAATGTTCCTACTATTTATGATCAATAAAAAATTATCCGTGTACTGGTTTTTCATGATGATGGCAAAAGAGATTGTGTGATTTTGCCAGCGGGCCAGGCTGGCCAGCATTTATATTTTATAGGATATCACAGCATAAATAAAACCTTGCTGAAAGATTACAGCTACAGCCAGATACAGGCAGAGCTGATCATCACTGCTTCAGCAATGATGGTAAATTCATTTATTCAGATGTTTAAAGTGCTCACAGTCCTGCAAAAAAAAAAAAGAAAAAGTCAATGATACATTGACATTAGATCTAGGCGGTGTAAAGAAATGCAAAGGATGCCATCATGTCCGTCAAGTCCTCTTTGAAAAGGCCACATGTTTGCCAACACTGCAATTTTGGGAAGCCATTGTCATAACGTGCGCCAATTTCTTTCCTGTGATGAGCATCATATCCACGCCTTTTTCAAATCGACAACACATAAATGTTCATGCAGAGAACGGTAATGATGTTAGCCATATGCCAAGGCCATCTCAATAACTTCACACGATCCAGTCGAGCATTTACTGTGCCATTTCTGACAGCGTCTGAAGAAACATTTTCCACTACCACCACAGAGGTGGAGGCTCAGTGGTGATTTACTCTAAGTGATTATGTTGGTAATGATTAGCGTTGACATTTCCGGAAATGAGCAGATCAAAATGTCATAGCCACAGCTCTGCAACTAGCACACTGGACCAGACGAGGTAAAAAAATAAAACATAAAAACAAAAAACTAATCCTCAATATAAAAATAGATATTAATGCATGGTATGCATAACTTGCATGAAATTGGATTTTCATATATATATAATTAAAAACGCTTCCCCTCCTGAGTCCAAAGCAAGAGTTGTGCACACTGGTTTGCAGATCCACAGCTTTCTACCAGCAATCTTGTCACCTTCTAATTCTCCAGTTTCACAAATATGACTCAGTCTTGCATCAGGTCAAGGCTATTACAGCAGATATTCCACCGGCTTTTTGATTTTCTTTCTGTGTAGACCCAGGTGCTCGCTTGACCTTCTGCTAATAAGAGCCAGGGGAATGTGACGTCACTAGCAGAAGTTTTCGTCAAGTGGACATTAAATTTAGTGGACTGGATTTTAACATTTCAAATGAACCGTCTGCAAAAACAAATCTCATAAAACAGGGCGGGGGCGCAGGCAGGTTTTATTTTTACCTGCTGGTTAATAAAAGCGAAAGAAGACTGCGTAATCCGTTTTGCTTGTCGTCGCTGAGCTCCGTGTAGTAAGACTAGAGTGTCTAATCCTGCGCACAGACAGGCGAGGAAACATAGGGGAGGTGGGGGGGTGAAGAAGACCAAAAAATGCTGCTGCTGAATGGAGCCATACAACAGTGACAGTGTGGTGGAAGGGAAAGACGACGTGGGCTAATTTTTACTCCACTTCAAGTCCAGTTTTCAACTATTTTTCTCCACTCGGGTAAATCAAGAGTCAGAGACCATGAAGGCTGCTGGCGAGATAACTTTACCTGCAGCTTAAATATTTGATATTGCGGAATGAGATGAAACCTTCTCCTCGAATGCACAAGGTAAGTTCAGCCTTGTTTTTTGTTTCCACGGTCGTTACTCCAAGGTCTTCTGCGCGTTTTTCGTTTTTTTCTTTTGTTTTTTTTTTTTCTTTTTTTCTTTGGTTTGGTTCGTCGAAATCTGCTAGAAAGTTGAAACATTACCAGATAAAAACACAAACAATCCGATGTTCCTCTTGCACACTGTTCTGTATATAGATATTATCTTCAGGAAAGATATCATAAATGTGTGCTATTCTTACTATACCAGTTGTTTTTTGTAAAACAAACAAGGGCTGCTTCGCTTTGTTTTCTTGTCTTGATGTTTCAGTACCTCGGACAGCGTCGCTATAGTGGCAATACTACAGATTCTCCACTGAAGGGCAGCAGGAGTCTCTCATATCCCAGCATTTGTTCCTAATTGCCATTTAATGAGGAATAGCCAGAAGAAAATAAAATGTTTTCAGATTTACATCCATGATTTGTGCATGTTTTATAGAATTACAGTATTGCCTCAGTTTCATTTGCCTAGTAGTATTTTTTATTCTATTTTTTAACAGAGGTTTTGATATGATGCTCAGCGGTGATCATCAGGAGTCTGATCTCCCCTGGGGACACACGGACACCCTTCTGGAGTCCCTCGGTGCGCAGTGTGGGTCCATGCCGGTCGGAACCCAGGATGGAGAGACCAAAGCGCGTTCCAAGGAGGAGAAGAGGCGCAAGAGGCGCGCCACAGCCAAATATCGATCTGCGCATGCCACCAGGGAACGGGTCCGTGTCGTAGCCTTCAATGTGGCCTTTGCAGAACTAAGGAAACTGCTCCCAACGCTCCCGCCAGACAAAAAGTTGTCCAAGATTGAAATCTTGCGACTCGCGATTTGTTACATCTCATATCTCGACCACGTGCTGGACATTTAGGACAAGTGTGGCAGTGCGTATCCAGCCACTAAAGAACAAGGGATATGGGGAATCCCTGGTCTGTATCCTAATGGAATACCACGCTGACATTATTATTGCATGATGATGTTTCATTATGAGGATGAGCTGCAGCACTGGAGACTTAACATCCGTAGAAGCACCCGAAGAATGGAAAATATTTTGGGACCTTTCTCTATATCACATATTGCATTCTGTTTATTATTCACTAACTTATGGAAACATTATCATGCTTGGGGTTGGTTCTTATTCCACCAAGTTTTAAAGAAACTTATATAATATAATATGTAACTGTAAAACACTCGTGTGCTCTGTGTTCCTTCTTCTAATGGCAGTTGGAATTTCATTTCAAATCAAATTTGCTTTAAAATAAACAGTAAAAAGGCTCATCTTGTTTTTTCAAATTCATCTTGTAATATTTTTGAATCCGGAAGAGTTCAGAAACAATAAAGTTTCACCAAAATGCTGAGAAATAAATGTGAGTTTATATTTTCTTTTAGAGGGTTGTTTGTAGCGTTTGTAAAGAAGTTGACACCTTTGTCTTAGTCATGGGTAAACGAACACACAGGTCTAATTTCTGGGCATTCAAAAACAGATTTCCGAACATTTCAAGGTTCTGACATTCTGCCCAAATACCGGATGACATCAGGATGTAGCTTTCAGCTCACTCGCGCCCGTGGTTTTCCTCTCCATTAGTCTGAGGCTGCCTGCGCTCCTCCTTTCGTCCATTTATGCGAATCTGTAATGTGGCCCGTGGGGCTCGAGGTATTGTTCATGTCCACTCCAGCAGCAAGAGCGAGAGTCCTTTGTGCATGCAGCACATTACACGCACTGGTCTACACACTGAACACAATGCTTCTGAGAATACAGGGAACACGGGGCTCAGCTTAATGTCAGATTTCGGGGCAAATAGGGCAAAGAAGCGTAAAGCTTGTGTGTGTTTAGAGACGTTGGTCAAATGGTGAAACAAGGGCTTATTGATCACACACAGAATTTTGATACAATATATTAAATGTAATTATAAGTTTAATGCAATTCCTCCTGCACATGTATTCGAATTTGAGTTTGTAAATTTCAGAATTCAATCCAGTTTATTTTTCCTTGAAAGGAGCAACCTCGCCCTCTGCTGGCGTTTTAGAGAACTACATATACGGTAAGCGGTTTCTTCGTGGTGTGATGTCAGTTTTTAAAATATGGTTATCGAGCAGGCCCAAATACATCTTTTGTTATCATATTATATAGATCATATTTGACATCATAGTTTTCATACGGGTTTTGAGTATCTTGAGCTGTTGAGAAATGTTTGTTTAATAAGATATCTCAAGAGGTTCTGCAGCACCTGGAGATTCCTCAATAGCATATGCTTTAATTACCGTGTAATCCATGCAGAAAAAGTCTCAGCCATAAGGGAAATTCAGCCTGTCGAAGATGTGATGCATTTAAAAACCCAAGAGAAAAACAACTAAATGTATCTCCTGTCAACTGCTGTGTTCAAGGTCAGGAGTTAAGTAAAAACTAGCACCATTGCGTTGTGTTTTATTGATTACTGCTATTGTTGTGCAGGGGATCAAGAAAATCTCACTTTTTTCAGATTGCAAAGTTGGTTCTTTTAATAACAGTGAAAAGTGGCATGTTCCCTTCTACATTTTTCTCTGTCACTTACCTGTTATGGAATTTCCTCTGGCAATTTATCCACTACAGAGCCCACAGACAGTTTCTGTCTGCAGAGATCAGAGGTGAGGCACCAGGGCCCTGGAAGTGTCAGCTATGACACCAGAACCTCGAACTATTATAGAAATTGCATCCCTGGTATGACACTAATGAGATGACACAATCAGGTGCAGGTGTTAAGCCCCTATTAACCCTACCTTTAAGCCTTCTTTCTTCTACAATTAATATCATGTGTTAAGCTGATGTGTTGCAAAAGCAAGTCCATACAAGTTAATTAAAGATAAGGACAAAGTATGAGATGAATTAACAAAGGTTTCACCATGATCATAGTTAAACAGATCCAACCTTTATCAGTGTATCTTCAGAGTAATGGCCATCCTTACGGGTGGCTCATCATAGGTAAAAATAACTGAAATGGTTCTGGGTGGATATTTCTTTAATTCTGTTATGCTATTAAAGACACCCTTAAAATGTAGTCCTATTCTTAGCAAGCTGTCAGTTTTCCCATCAAAATCTTCAGTCTTCAATTTACAACGTTTTCACAGAGACGTGTAGTATAAAAAGTGCATATACTATACTATATACTGTGTTCAGTTGCACAGCGAAACGGGACTGGCTTCAAACGCATCTATCAATAATGACAAACTAATAATAATTGCTATTTTAGTTGACAGGTTAAATATAGGATAGTTTGGGCGGGGCTTAATCTTTTCATTTTCTAATTAGAGAAGTTCCACGTGAGCTTCTTCGTGAAAAAATGTCAAGTTAAGTAGCAAATCACATTTAGACATCAGTTACACTCACTGACGGCCCTGACCCTTCTACAGCAGTCGTAAAGGACGACCTCTTGCGGGCCAGAGCGGAAAATACTCATTGTAACGCGCTGTAAAAGCGTGCTGTACACCCATGCTGCCTCCCTTTCTGGTCCTGCGAACCACAATGGCCAGGATCCTGTGAGCTGCCTCTCCGTGCAGACGCGCCTCACAGCAGCAGGAACAGCTGCAGCTCCTCGGCGGCAGATTCGCTGACACCGACACGCAGGTGAAGGAATATGAAACGCTTCTGAGATAAAGGTAGGTAAACGAATCCACGGTTGTGATGTTCATCACACCGGGTATTGGCTGCCCTTGCCAAAAAAATCCGGAGATACACCAGCACGCAGGAATCACTGATGAAGTTCAATGCTGCCGTCGTGGGAAAATGGTTTCCTTTTCGCCAGACAGATGCAGCCACATAACCCGAATTTATCTGGAGCTCATGACTTCCCTTTTTATTTCTATTGCATTAGTATCGCTTTTTATGTAAGCATATTATTTGAGCCGATCATCCAGATTGCATGGTTTATTTGAAGTGATTTAGTCTTGTGTGGTTAATGGGGTTCAGGGCGAGACTGAAAGGAGATCTGCTGTAACAGAAGCTGCAGCTGTGTAATAGAGAAGTGGCTCCCCTTGTTCTGTGCGACCTAGTAGCCTTTATATTAAAAGCGGGGTTGGAGATGTCTCCATCAGCAACAGCAGCTGTCTGGAGAGCACACAGCTGGATGAGGTGTTAACTGTGACTGGAGCAGCTTCACGTGTCTTCTCTCTCTGTCTGTCAGAGTCATGATGCTGCCGTGTAGCACCTACAGTTATTTATTATTGAGCAGTGTTGATGGGTCCTGTGCAGAGAGCCTGAGGACACTGCTTGCCTGGGAACCCTCCCTGAATAGATGAGTCAACCCGTGGAAGCTATCAGTTCTTCCCATGGATGATCAAAAGTGATGTTGGCAAGGCTTTGGCCTTTGTTCTCCTTTAAATGTGCCCGACAGGGCAGTGTGTCAGAAGTGCAACGAGAACTGGAGCTACCTTTAGGCTAAAGAGAGGTAATGGAGGAGCATGGGGTAGTGCGCAATATATTACAGTGTAGTTTACAGTTGTGCATTTGGAGACATAAAGGCCCTGCACTTAAAGTAGGAATGTACTGAGGTATCTCTTCAACAGCCCTCTCAGCCCGCACCACCCTCCTCTCCCTCCCTCTCTTCTTCTACTGTACTTCTGTTTAGTTCCACATGAGCGGATCAGAGGGGACTAAAGTTTGCATTCCAGAGAACTGTGTCAGGTCTTAACTTTCTCCTTTTACAATGGGCAGCAGGGTGGGAGTAGCTATATCCAGTCACTGAAAGGTCACAGGTTTGCTTCTGCAAATACTTCTGGAAAAATACACAGGAACACACTCCTGATCACGTCAGATATCCTGGCAGTGAGGGGCACAAAATAAGAAGAATAAAAAGGGGGGTGTTTCTAAGGGAGTGTCATGACTTGCATATTTGACTCAGTTTTATGTGATTTTAGCCCAGTGGTAATGTAATATGTTAATGAGCAGCTGTTCCTCTGGGTTATCTGTAGTCCACGAAAGGATTTAAGGTATTAACCACTATATATTACACGGGCTCACACTCTGTCACCCTTTGTTTGATTTCAGAGAGGTTTCACACAGCCTAGTGGACTGTGTTATTCCTGTGCATGTGTGGACTTGTTGTTTCTGCTGCCATTTTAAAAGAATGCATTTTAAAACAGTAATATAATATACACCATGGTTGTTTCAGGTCCTAAAATGTGGCTTTTGGCTTGTTTTTATATGGCAGTAAAAGAAATGTTTTTGGCATTTGCTCTCAAATTGCTCCGGCAAACCAGTGATCTGATATAACAGTGAATCAATAATGAAATGGGTTTAGCTTATACTAAGCTAAGATGAGGCTCTAATATACCTACTGTGTGTTAGGTATTGATCTATAAGTCAGTCAACATTGATATCGACCCATATGTCTTCTTACAAGTAAATAAGATGACATTTACCCATGCCGGTGGCCGATATTTATCTGTAGTGTCACATTAATTTCGCAAAGATCTCGTGATGAATATCTGAAACACCTTAAAACATATGATTACCTTCCAAAAAACATATTTACATTGGCATTTAAATGTGCTATGAGCCAAACTGCGCTTTTGAACATCTGTATTGATATCCACCCAGAAATCTACTATCCACTGTATATTTGAACAGTAGATGGGAGTTTTGTAGTTTGTTTGCCTTGAAGCTGCAAAACAGCTGATACAAGAAATTCATCAGATTACCAGCTGCTGTATCTGGAAGATTATAGCATAATGCTACCGGGGCAGGGTGCACATCAAGGAAGGAAGGCATGAACGCTAATAGGTGTGAGGGAGGGCACAGATGCCATGGTAACCAGGCCTCAGCATGTGCCCTGGTTGAGCTATGAGACTCATCTGTGCCATTTCATTTGCCAGCACTGCATTGGATACCTTAATGGAATCTCAATGCCACACCCCTCCTTCTCAGCTCAGTTTAGAGGGCAAATTACTATACAGTCAAAATCTCACGTTATACTTATAAGCTGAATCAGCAGTGGAAAAAATGCTACAGTGCATTTTACTTATCATACGTTGCAGCTTTTCCTCAACGAGCCCCACACTTATTTGTTGCAATACTAAAGTGTGCTTATGCCTTGTCTTTA